GTGGTACTGTGATACACCGATAGGTCTGCACAGTCGGTCCGCGTCACGCGCCACATTCAGAGATGTGGCTCACACGTGAGGATTTAGTGTGAATGCGTCCCAGCCCCCGTAGCTGTAAGGCTACATCTACACTGGTGCGTTTTTGTTTTAAAATGAAAACGATCCTTGTCATGCTGGCGTTTCCACTGCGTTTCAAGCCGGCTTTCCACTATCTCACAAGTCTCCATCATCAATATTTTACCAATGATTTATGATAAAAAAAAGCTACAGTGACAGTAATTTATCACTTTGTGTCAGAAGTGCGCATCAGTGATGCTAAATCCAACTAATATGTTTAATTATTTTACATAAAATGAGAAAATATACTTGTTCAGTCACGGCTGCTCCATTTAGTTGTAATCACAAAAATGCATAAAACAACTCCATTTAATTCCAAAGGCATACACGTATAACACAATAGAAAAACGTTGATAAACCCATGTTTGCGTCAACTTCTTTAGAAAGATGGAGAATTCATATAAATTTTCAAAAAAATAATATAATGTGAGGATGTTTGGGCGCCGTCTGGGACCAGGGTTTGAATTGGGCCGGGCCGTCTGGGGCTGAGCCCCAGCACATAGACTCCAGGGCTTGACATTAACGCTTCATTAACGCCAGACAAGTAACATGATTAAAACATCAGTAACCAAAAATAACTATGTAAACACCAAAACGCAAGTGTTATTCTGATTTTATTACATTTAGAGTAAGTGGCGAATAGTGGATATCTAATGTATATAATGCTTCGTTTCCACTGTAGGACCAGCGCTACTCTAAAAGCCCGCCCTTAACACGCCTCTCTGAAGCAAACGGCACACAACATCATTTCACCAGCGAGGGGATACATTTTCAAAGAAATAATATAATGTGAGGATGGTTGGGCGCTGTTTTCTGCCAAATTGAGGTGCAAGAGCAGGTCAGGAGAAGTAGAATAATAATTAATTACTAATTTGAATCAGTACATTATAACGAAAACAATACCTTAAAAATGAAAAGAAGCAGGTTTTTGCGATCATTAATGGAAACCGATAAACTCCTGGAAAGTCCAAGGATCCAGTAAGCGAATTCAAACTCAGGTTTTTGCATTAATGGAAACCGATAAACTCCTGGAAAGTCCAAGAATCCAGTAAGCGAATTCAAACAGTTGGACAAAACAGCGCTAATGCAGAGAAAAACACGGCCAATTTCATCAGAGATTGTGGAGATAATAATGACTCACGTCCAGATGTCAGTAAATTATTCTTTTCATTGTGTATTTGGATTAAAAGCAAGAATGTTTTAAAATGGATGGTGGTAAGAAGTTTAGCGATTCTGAATGTATCCAGTGGAGGTTTAGTGGTCTTTGACATCTCCCTGTGGTCCTGTTTGGTATCGCAGCTTGACTTGTGGTTATTTGTATTGAAAAACGTTTGTTTAATTACTG